TGTTGGTCACCGCAGATCTATTAGGTAATAAATTTAGAACCTATTGAGAATACTTATTAGATTATACTAGACCGCTTCTAGATACTAGACAGCTCCAAGTTCTATTACATATTTAATCTTCTAGTCGCTTTTGGAACATGTTGGGCGCCATTACTGTTTTCAGTTTAAGAGTCATCAACTTGTACGAACAATTTGAAACTAAAATTCTTTTCGCAGCTTTGCTCTAATCGAATTTTGTAAGAATATCAATTTAAGTTTTATTAGTATTGTTCGAACACTGGTTCGCTGAACACCTGATGCTTCACTCAAGTTTCACATACTTAAATTGAGATTTTAAGTTACGTGCTTCGACTGCTTCATCGACTACTGGATTTACGTTTCAATTATGTCAAATTACTCGTTGTCGATTGACAGTTGAGATTTGTCAGATTTGTTTATTTATTGGAGATGATAACATAAAATAATACTTACACACTTTTCGATCTGATTCTATTTCTTTAAAAGCTCAAACACCAGTGTGACACCAATGTCAACAAAACAAGTGTCAAGTTACTACTTATCATGTTGTTATAATTTTAGCCATCAGGGGGTGTCTGGACTTTTGGACTCGCGAATACTAGACAGAAACATATCTGTCATTCTTGTCTCCTATGTACATCATATAAATTTGCGAAGTATAATAGTGATTGAAACATTTCACATCTTGTTAGTTTTTTCTGTGCAATAAGAAATAATGATCCATAGTAATATTAATCATATAGTAACAATTATCCGCGAAGACGAGGGAATTGATGAATTTTAGAGCGATTAATTTTTGAAGTGATAACTTCTTCTGGCACGGTACAAACCGCTCGGAATGCATTACGTCGTCGCTATGTCTGGCATTGATAAAGACGATAGATAAAAACGGTCTGAGTCAATGGGAAACTCATAAGCAACTTAAGAGATGCCGACGACAGTCATAATCGCAGACGGTTCTGAGGGGTTGCAACGCCTAATCGATAGCGTATCGACTTCGACGGTGACGAAATGGGCTTGAGGATTAATATATCAAACACAAAAATCATACAAATAAGTCGCAATCCGAACAACAACTTCAACATAAATATATACGGTTTACCGATAAAGCAAGCAACAAAATTTAAATACCTAGGAAGTTGGATCAGCAAGGATCTGAATCCGGAGATACAAATTAAATCCCCATACAGCTAGAGCCAATTTTATTGAAACCCGGAACCTGTTAACTGACAGAACACTTAATTTAAACATAAGATCTTCGTTAGACGTTATGTGTATACCACATTACTATATGGAATCGAGGCCTGTACGCTAAAAGTCAGCAGTAGTAACAAGCTGGAAGCATTTGAGAAGTGGCCGTACCGCAGAATGCTCGCATTCCATTGACCGATCATACTGTCTACCATTGGTAAATGTTGTAAATAAATTATAAAGTTTACATTGGAAGGAAATTGAATTACATTTTACCTATTTCTGATCCAATTATAAATTAATAGACCAGTAAGAATATTGAAATTATATATTAGTGTTGCCATCATGCGTTAAGCAAGTTGAATATTTTATGGTTTCTATAAATAATAAGAAACTATAACTTCTGTCGAGCGTCCCAGAATGCGCATCTTTTTTATAAATTTCGAGGGAAAAATACAGTCACTCATCTAATAAATTATAACTGACCCAGATCATACTAATTTGGTTTGTGTTTCTGTCTTTGATTTTATATTGCCATTATCTAACGGATGTGCTATGAGTGGGAAGTACAATTTATTTCCCTTAGTGATGACAGGAAAACAATTGAGTGTGTTTCAATTAGAGTCTAATTGAAACACGGTATAAACAATTAATATGGTTAATATTATTAATGACAAAAGTTAATGACATTTATTAAATTACGTATTTTGTCTTAGAGTATATAAAATGAATCGTCCACACAATTTAACTTAATATAAGGCAATGATACTAGTAACTCTAGGTAATGAAGGACGTAGCGAGCGACACGTGAGTAATTTGCTATAGTAAAGCAATCAACAATTAGCCGAAGTGTTAAACGTTTCAATAGACTTGAAAGTTACCCATGCAAGTTGCTTCAAGAAGCAGACGTTCTACGTTCTACCATTATAGATCTAAGCAGAGCCCTAGCAGAAGCTCGTAATGTAATAGTTTCTGCACGATTCGCACGGCTTAAAAAAAGGAGATGTTCACAGTTGAAGATCGGCTATTGATCATTGCTCACCAGAGAATATAGACAACCATCGACAACGGGCAACTTCTCTACCAACGGTAAGAGGTAAGAGGTTTGTTCTCAAATGAAATTTTATTACATGAAAAGGAGTGTGGTTTGTGTCCCGTAATATGTCTTTGCTTTAATGATCGCAAGGTGGTACCTAAACGCAGGAGAACCATGAATTTACATTTCCACTTGGAAAACATGGTAGAAGAACATGTGATGCACCATTTGCACCATTCATCGGAAACAATTTCTCATTAATGCAGGACAACGCTGGACTTCACGTTGCTTAACTGAAGCCTTCGATTCGTGAATATTCCAACCATGAACTGGCCACCAAGAAGCCCGAATATGAATCCCATAGATAGACCATCTACGGGATGCACTTAAACAAAAACCCAAGCGACACATATCTGCTCCTATAAATTCTAAGGAACTTGAGCCGTTCTTATCGAATGGAAGAATATTTCCAAAATAACCATTCTAAATTTGCTTAACAGCATGTCCAGACGAACGGTAGCAGTAATAAGAGCTGGAAGAGGATCTACGCGCTACTAAATTCAAATGTTTGCCACTTAATTTAACCTTAATACTGGTTGTTAACCGTTTCATTGACAGATTTTCATTTCATTTGACGCTATAGTTTCTTTCTGTGTGTTAGTTATTTTAGATTACGTTAGGCATGGGTAATTTTTAGCAGTTGGCGCAGTCCAACGCACCCGCGCAGTAATTTCAAACAGTTGCGTTGCAGTCACTTACTTGGTAAAACGTTACTCATGCCAGAAGATTTCAGTCACAGGCCTCGTAAACCTTTAACCTTCTGGATTAAATGATAAGCGTAATTCAAAGTGCGCCGCAGTGAGACGCAATGAGTTATAATCCATTTGCGCACAGAGCTGCAACAACGCAAAACTGCAACTCAACACAGTGTTACCCATGCCTAGATTACAGCACCATTATCAGAAAAAAATTAATTATAATATGACGTAGGTTATATGATTTAAAACTTAAATAATAAAGGACATTATGGAAAATTTTTACGATCTCCTTTTTGTGCATTCCTTTTTCATTTGGATCATTCATTTAGCTAGACTAAATACTAGCTTAACCCTGCAGCGGGCGCGCCTTTTAAAATCTCACGACCGGTCGTGCCGTGGCTATTGCACCGCAAATGCTTTTCTTTAAAAAAAACGTCATTGACTACTTTAAAATGTATTTAATAAGGTGAAATTAAAACAAGTAACCAAAAAGAGATACAATTCTATAAATAATATTTGAAAAATGCTAACAAAATTAAATGCATATGTAAAAAATCTAAAAACAAAAATCTGAAGTACATATCCTTGTTTTTTCCAATAAAAAAATAATAATCTTTGTCTGTTCCCGTGGTTCAAATTCTGCTTCTCCTTCATCTGCTTATTGTTCGGAATCACTACTATAAACGTTACTTTCAGTAACTTCTGGCTCCTGGTCTGAATCGCTGTCAAAATTGTCATCAATTACGTGACTTCTGTTCACGTTAATGTTCTATTGTAGATCTTATTCTGCTTATCTTGTAATTATCTCACCACCTATGGCAACAATTTTTCTAATTCGTCTGGACTCCATTTTTTTTCGACCTCTAACAAAAATTTAAAAATCTATATACAATTTTTTACCTTAAACGACATACATCTACAATACTTCACCATAAAGAATCAAACACGATAAATGTGTATCAACATATGCTCAATTTGTAACAAAAAACTCCATAAATACAGGGTGATTCAAAATTGGCGTCATTCTTCTGGAGGTGTTGTCTGGCGCTATTATAAGAGTACAAAAAAAATAGTGAAATAATAGAAATACGGCAGCAATGTTTTTCAAGGTAATCTGCCTAATTAACATTGCGCAAATACCTGTGGCTTCGTAATTATTTAAAACTCCGGTAACCATG